TAATTTTCACAGTTACACACACACACTATAATTCACAACAATTCACTCACTTTCTATCGTGCTTAGACTTAATTGTCCATCCTCGCCAACTATAATTCCGATCTCTGTGTCTGCTATCCTCGGTTCCTGCTGACCGTAATCACTGTCTTTCTTTCTCTCAGCCTGCTTCGTCCCTGCCTCGTCTCTGTCTCCACTACTGCTTTGACTCCGTCTCTACTACGTCTCTGCCTCCCGTCTGTCTCTCTCACTGTCTAGCACACTTATATACGATAATACTGCCTGTTCTAGAAACTTCTAAGACTTTCAACACGTGCTACCAGCGTCACTTGACTCCCGCTGTCACAACGCACTAGCGAATCTTTTAGAATATTCGTCACGTGACCCCGCTGTCGTAACACACTAGCGAATCTTCTAGAATACTCGTCACGTGACCCCCACTTTCGTAACAATGTAAAGCACGGTGAATCATGTTTTCAAAATTGTACAATTGTGGATGCCTTTTCTCTTGAACTCTCTGTTAATCTATTATTCTAATAAAAAACATGGTGTATTCAGTTCGTAGTACATGATTTCTCTATTGGTGTTATTTTCCAAAAGTAACTTACGTTACACTTACATAGAACTTTAAATTATTATGGCTATATCCTCACTTGACAGGTTTTTTTCTTAATCAAAGGATATTAGTGATCACATTAGCACCAATAGTGTTGTGGTTCAAATAGTATAATTTTTCTTGTTATTAAGAAGGCTCACCTTAACCACATGTGATAAAAAACATACATAGTACACCTATTATGCCATATAATTAAAATTCTAATAAAGTAAATAATGTAATTGAGTGTAGTCTGGAGGAGATGTTACTTTTAGTTTTATTGTTGAACTTTTATAGCTTAATTCAATGTCATTCTTAATGTGTTCAAGAACTGCAGCAAGCATAAAGCTCATAACAGTATGACAGAATTAATTTTTTTGATGTCTTGTAAGATTGTTTATGGAATCTTTCCAAGTATTAAGTGAATTTCCATATATATTGGTAAAAACAAAAACAAGAATTTACAGAAAAAGGATGACAACTATAATCAGCTTTAGAAAAATTTTTTGATATTGAGATACTGGTGTCAGGAAATATACTTTTATTTTCAAGTTGAGAATTACTGACTCAAATAATAATCTTGTGATTTAGATTATTTTAATCATTTACTGCTACCAGAAAACATCAGCAGAAAATAAGAAGTAGGAAATCTGTTTAATGTGGCCTATAATTTTTGTTTGAAATTGAACTATAATGATTTATTTTGTCAGTGTGAATGGGCATTTTGAGATTAAGTATTAATAGATAATGGGATTGGTGAAACTTTAGGATGTGATTAGATGACTGTTGTGCGTGTGTTTATCTTATAATAGAACATGTAGGAATTTTATTTAACCTGTTTAGGTTAAGATTGCTTACACATATAACTTACTCTTTGCTTTTATTATTAACAATGTTTGCAGTACAGTATACTTTTTTCTTCCGGTTACATAACACCAACATTGTTTTGAGAATTAGGTTTATTTTGATAAATAGAGTAACTGTTAGAAGAAAATCTTCAATGATGTATAAATCATATTATTTTGGTACTTTCAGTACCCAGATGAACTGATATTCCAAGAATATCTAATGAATTGGGAGCATAACACTGCCATCTACACCCACTGTTATGATACGTCTGGAACTCGGCTTTTTGCAGCTGGTGGCCCTCTACCAGCTAGTCTTCAAGGTAGCTATGCAGGAATTTGGCAGTGATAGATGCTGTTAAGTGACAACAGGCAGTGCTTGACTAGTGTAATTTGTTATTCTATTTCAAGGTTTAAATACTTTACAAAATTCTCATAATTTTGTTCATTGTATAGAATGTATCAATCATTTGTTTGGTAACTTTTTTCTACATTGGTCACACTTAAAATGTTTTGTTCATTTTGCTTTTTTTCATGTGTTTTTTTTTCAAGAAACTGTCACGAAACCAGTAATTGAGTTGTTAGTCATTGTTGTGCAACAAAGTGCATCTACACTGCATTATTTAAATTTAACTGTCTTTTAATACTAGTGCAAGTAATTGTATTGCCTCATGTTTATAGGTGAAATCTCAGGTTATGATAGTGAATTTTTATTTTGATAGGCATTTTTGGGTCCAGTGATATTACAGTGTAAGATTAGGATAAATCAAAGTGGGAAAATTTGCTATGTAATGTATGCATATATAATTATGCATGATTTTCAACGAATTTCACTGTAAATAGTTGTGGTTGTGCAGAAAAATAAATTGTTATATAATGTTTTAATTACAGATGTGCAAAACACTCAATTATTAGTGAGGTGTCACAGGAAATTATGCTTGAAGGGTGATACTGTAACCTTTCTATGTATTAGGTGATTATCTCTTATCTGTATTAAATCATTAGTAGTAGTTTAATTTTTCATTGTTAAAAAAATGTAGAAATAAAACAAAGTTAGTTGAATTTGAATCGTGTTTGCAGAATAATGTTTTTGTTGTATTTAAACGAAAATTATTATTACATAAAGCTTTGTTAAGCAACAATTTCTGGTCAAATATAAAATTGATAATCATACAATTAATAAAATAATTTTTAGGGAATGGCAAGAGCACTAGTAAAATTTTTCAAATATCAACTGTTACAGGCACTTTAATGATTATAAAAAAATTTTAAATCAGTGTTCAATAGAGGTAACACGTTTTAATAAAAGATCATTTTCTTGATGTTGTACACATTGAGTTTCAACTGAGACTAGACTTTTAACAAAACATTGTGTATATGAAATATTGATAAACTGATATTGTGACTTACATTTTTCATAATACACTATAAGCATTTGATTGCTTTAGAAACTCATCATTTGTCTTTGAAATACACAGCAATATTTTAATGTCAAAACTGTTTTGAAAATAATACATAAATAATTAATTTTTCAATGTATCATTCTTTTTTAAAAAAAACTTAATTCCATCAAAATAATTTTGCTATCAGAAAAAGAATGGTTTTGTAGTTTTCAATATAGGTTCTTTTCATTGAAGGACTAATACTTTGATCCTGCACAAAGTTTTTGTGATATGTGTTGTGTTGCTGGAATTCATTGCTAACATTACCATCATTTTATTGCACATTTTAAAGTGTGACTTTATCATCTACTTGTACATACAAGAAATGATAATGTTAGTTTAATTTTGTGTATGAAAAATTAATATATTTATGAATTTTAGTGAATTTTTTTTTTCACAATATGTTTTTACTTGAGACTTCTATACATTTAAAACAGTTTTAAGTTAGTTATAAACATTGCAGAAAGCATATGGTAATATATGAAAGACCAGTAAAACACATGTTATGATGTATTTCTTAAAAAGGGTTAGTGAAAAATTGCACACATAATTAGTCTAATTTTTTTCAAACTCAAATCATACAAGTTTTGGATGTGAATGGCATGAGACTGTGATACTGTTAATCTTTCTTCCAAATTTTTCAGAAAAGTCATTATATAACTTGTGTGTGTTCCTGTTCAAGTTGTGTAAGCTCTAAAGAAGGAAAGACGACCTTGGTTTAGTGATAAGTGTAATACACCTTATTCTTTGTATTTTGCATAAGTTTCTTAAAATTTCAATCATATTGCTATAATTTATTTATATCCTTTTCATTTAAAAGATCTTTTCCATCCATAACTGAAGTAGGAACATAAAAATAAATAAATATATATATTTCACATTACTTAATCAAGGTTATCTGTATACCTCATAAAACCAATTTTTAAGACCACAGGATTTATTATGAAGTTTAAACTAAAAACACAGAATGAAGAAGATGATCTGAAATAAAGTTTTGTATTTTATGTAAATATGTTATTTTCAATATTAACAAAAAGTTGAACTGTTTTTGTCACTTCTTTTTTTTTTTTATAAATATAGTTTTTTGTGTTTACAGCAAGGAAAGTGAGAATTTGCTGTGGAATAAGAATTATCATATTGATTTATACAAAATTTAGATGATTTACACTGAAAGTTTAGTTGTACTTTATAGATTTTACCCATACAATAGTTTTTCATCAAAAGTGTATATCAATTTTTATATATCAAAAATACTACAGATTTTATTTCCACCAAGATTTCAGATGTATTAGTATTCAACATATTTCCAGTATGATTATTAAGTAAATTTGTAAGTGACTTGTATGAATACAAATAAAATTTCATACATCAGAAGGAGTTGGGTTTCCCTTATTATATGCACTACTATGCCAAAAGTATTTATACTACCTGTAAATACATGTGATATGGCCCACTCAGCATGTTTTGCAATGGAACTTGGATAGTATAAGTACAGAAACACACCAGACAGGTAGATGAACAGTAACAGTTTGTATTTGTATACAGCATTACAAAACATTGTAAGTAATGTGATTTTTAGGGAGGAGAAATTATAGGCTGATACAAGTGCCATAAACTGATGGGTGGAATAGTTGATATGCTTGCTCATATATGAGCTGTTGCATACGAGATCATTCACTTGATACAAGTCACCTTAAAACATGTTTCAAGTGCTGCCCAGCTCAAAGCACTAACTTGTTATGATTATGAAAAAGTTCCAAATTCATAATTGCAGTAAATTCACTAACTATTAGCATTTCCATTGTTCTGTTCAAGACAATGCACACTATTAAAGTTGTACTCTAGAAGTTTCTGGAGCAATCTTGCTATCTGGCCTTCAGGACTGCATAAAATTTGCCATCCATTTCAATGCTGCATAATCTATCCAAAGTGTAAACATTTGTTCATATAAGTAATGATGGAAATGATTCGGGGCTCGAAAAATACTTAATAGATCTTCGAGTTGTATAATATCTCCTTTTTGCAGCATTCACTGCTTATTATAGTAGGCAGTCACATTTTCTTTCCATGTTGCACTTGTGATAACATTCTTCACACTGGAAAATCACAGGTATCTGTATCTAAACTGAATGGACCTTCAAGAGTTGAGTATGCTAATATGAAGTAGTAGTTAATTCTCTTTTGCAATTAATTTAATACTTGTTCATAATCGTTAATCCAACAAAACTTATTTGGCTTTTCAAGTAATTTTTGTAGAGGATGAGCTGTGACAGATAATGATTTTACAAAACAATGATAGGACGAACACAATACTGGGTGATTAAATCTAAGATAGGTCTATAGACACTCCCTCTGTGCTGACTTTGTATTCCAGGAAACTCTCCTATTGTTGGAACAATTCACAGTTCTTGGGATTCAGCTTAAGGTTCTGTTTCCTCAACTGATTCAAACTTTCCTTAGCTTATCATAAACACTATAACAACTCTTCCCATGTCTGATTGTGTCATCCAAGTAGATAAGTATGATGTACTAGGGAATTTCAGAGAGAGTGCCCTTCATTAGTTATTGATATGTAAGATGTGTATTACTTAATCCAAAGAATATTACAATAAATTGTCACAATTCATTTCCTAGAGTAAAAATTGTTTTCTCTCCACTTACTTCATCAACTTGTACTTGCTAATACAAACTTTCCAGATTCAATGTTGAAATCAATTTTGATCCAGATACAGCATAAAAGGAGATTCAATATGTGTCTGTGGGTAGGCTTCCTCATCTGTGACTTCATTCACCTTCTTTTAGTCCATGCAGAACCTTGTGGATCTATCCTTTTTTTCACAAGTATAAAATGTGATGCACAAGGACTAGTACTTGGCTTTATGGCTGTTTGTTCCTTCATGGCTTCTATATTGTTGAAAGTTTCAATTTTTTTAAAGTAAATATCATCTGGCTGACACATTTGGGTTGCATCTATCTTATGAGAAATTGTATTTGTTTTGAGGTCCATTGGAGAAGATATCTTGTTATTCTGTCTATTCTGTGAGCAAGTCGTGTAACATGTGGCACTGTTTATCTGTAAGACCCTCACAACTCTGGTTATATTGCTCTTGTAAGTGAGGAGTTATGCTATCCTTATGTGAGGATTTGACATCAGACTTCCTACATGTCATCTCAAAAGTGACTACTTTTGATGTTCTTTGAAGTGAAAGTACCGCCTTTACAGCTTCATATCTGATAATATTCCATCCTAACTTGAACTTTACAGTTCATAATGTTCATGGAATTAATGACAATATATTTATTCTTCAGATCCATGAGAGTTCTTTTAACCATTAATCCATCAGGACACACTATAGTGTTTGGTTATATTATGTCCCAATCACTTGACATAAATTTATTCCTTAATGTTCTGATATAGTATTTCACTTTTTTTTGGTGGTACAAGAACTGCCCTCCTTTTTACCACTGGAAGTTAAACCTCTGGTGCATTAAAGCTATTTGAAACTAGGCTAACCTTGCATCTATGTTTTTGCATGAAGTCAGACTGCAATATGTACTCTTACTCGATATAAATTACCCATAAACATCAAGAGGTGACATGTAATAGTAATTGTAAATTCCTAATTTACCCTTGAAGAAGAAAGGTCCACCTTTTGAAAGTGCTTGAAATAGATATAGGTTATTGATTTTTGTCCTAAATTATTTTTTAACAAGTGTTTGTATAACAGAAGGTGTTTTAGGTTGGAATTCTTGGGCAGATGCAGAAAGAAGTGTAGCAGACTTCATCTTTGCATTTACCGATTCTTTTTCCAAATTTTTTTATTTATGTTATCACAACCCCTCAGTATTTTTCAATCCTGCTGTTGTAATTCCTTTTAACATCTCCAATAGCTTCATCAATCTGATCTTCAGTCAGATTTAGTTTTGTTCTTTATACTTCTATAAATATTACAACTCTTTCTTTTTTCTCTTCTCTTAAATTCCTGTCTATTAACTTTTGATCTTCTTTTAATTTTCTATCTCTTACTTTTTGACCTTCTTTTAATTCGTTTATCATATCTAATAAAGATTCAATCTCGTTTCCTGTTCCTTTTGTGATCATCTTGAAGTTAAAGTTTAATCAAAGTTTTAATCTTATTTTATCCGAAATACCCCCAGTTTTGTAACGTATTTCATCTTTGGGGGCCCGGTATGGCCAGGTGGTTAGGGCGCTTGTCTCGCAATCTGAGGGTAGCGGGTTCGAATCCCCGTCCCACCAAACATGCTCGTCTTTTCAGCCGTGGGGGCGTTATAACGTGACGGTCAATTTCACTATTTGTTGGTAAAAGAGTAGCCCAAGAGTTGGTAGTGGGTGGTGATGACTAGCTGCCTTCCCTCTAGTCTTTCACTTCTAAATTAGGGACGGCTAGCGCAAATAGCCCTCGTGTAGCTTTGCGCGAAATTCAAACCAATCCATCTTTGAATGGGTTCTGTTGGATTATTTGGTAAAAATAATGTCAAATGCAGTCCACATAACGATAACGAATTAATTAATTTTACAGGCTACGTTCACCTTGACACAAATTTTAGGCTTAAGTTCACAAACAACGTTTGAACAAATATTCCAAGATTAATGGTACCTACGCCAAACTTATAGATTACTTACAGAATTTCATCGCTAAGCGTTCGACTGACTGAAGAGATACGTTAACTCTCATTACTATCACTGAAATGAATCACTCATTTACTCAACTGATTCTCGTATTTATAATCGTATTCTAATATCAACATACAAACCAAAATCTCTATATCATAGCGTTCAGAAACTTTGTAAGTATTGTGCTGTGCACCTTTTAGCAAACATTTAAGTTGAAATAATAAAAATATATAATTTAAAACAATAGCAACAGTTTATCATGCAAAAGGCAGTCAAGCACTACAGCATATTATAAAAGTGATTACAAGAATATCCTTCTACAGCTACATGTCTGTATACTTTTGGGAGGGCAATGGATATAAGATAAATTATTTTCTTTACCTTCAAAGAAAATTTCATTCATTCATATTAACATCTATCGCTATTACAAAGATAGAAATTATAGGTATAAGTACAAAGTCAGTGTTTATAATACTTGTCTAGACTGGAATGCGAAACATCAGTTAATACATTAAAAGACGCGGTTAGGTATTTAATACAGTAAAAAGCCTGCAGTTTACATGATATTTATCATAAGTTTAAAGCCTATCTGAATTTGACAATAATTGTTTTTTAAGCATCATGTTTCTGCACCGTAATGTGTTGAACTTGCCGTAATGTTCTAAATAAAAAGTTCCCTCGGTGAGTCTGCGGAAAGTTTCAGAATATTCAATGCTAAAATCTGGATTTTGATTGCCTAATGTGAACAGAGTGAAGATAGGCCATTGCGAAGCTTTGTGGTACACAAACAAAGTAAAAATTTATTTGTAAATATTTGTTTGAGTTTTTAGTACAGTAACCTTAAGATATTTGTAAAGGAAATTAATATATCTAGAAACATTTTTAATGATCAATCAGATATGTACGGTAGT